AGGAATTGAGATTATTTAACATAGGCTAATTAGTAATTTAGGTTCCAAGTTGTTGACCCAGTAAAAGTAAATAATAATCAGTTATTTTTATTTTGCAAAAATGGAATTAAATTCAGCAAGAAACATTTCAGATAAACAAAAGAATTTCCTAATTTCAAATGAAGTCGGCTTAATATTTTTCTTTAATGTTCTTCTTAAGAAAATATTTCTCTTGAGTTGCTTAAGGGGGTAATCTTGCCTAAAATAAAATAATGGAAGAGATGATTTTTTTGAAGTTCTGTTAAGTTTTTACCAGGGCTGTAAGTGTAATATAGTATTAATTAGCATATAAAATCTTCATTCTGCTTTTTTCAGTACCATTCCATTCTATTTCTTATGACACATTTCTTGCTGTGAAAGGCCCACTGAATTTTTTTTATACACAAGGCCTTAGGTAGTTATAGCAAAAGGTTAATGTTGCATTCTTAATTCCATTTTTTAGAGCATTATGTTATCTAATTGTCGGTGTGTTTTTTCTTCTCCAGAGCACTTCCAGCCCTTCTAGATTCTGATGAGGTCAGTAAACAAACTTTTAAAAGTAAATTCTCTGATCTAATGACATACAAGAGTCATTAAGGAGATTATTTTGACTTTGTTTACCTGATATCTTTGAGAACTATTGTTAAGGCAACAAGAAAAAAAATATGGAAAGCAAGACAATAAAAATAGAACTTTCAGGTATTCAGGGAAGGTTGGGTTCCTCCCCCCAACATTGACGTAAACGTGTCTCTTTTAAAAAGTTATAAAAGCAACCTACATCTTTATGTAAATTATATATGGCCAACCTAACACCTCCCTATTTACTAATGTTTTTCTGAGATGACTTTCACCCGATGTGTTCAGGAAATACAAATTATTTTAATATTAAACTCAATTTAATAAGGAAAATTAAACAGCCACAAAAATAATATAGTATCCCAAAAGCAAATGGGATTTTTAATTGTCTGTGGTTATACATGCCATTATTGTCTATAAATAATTGACTAGAGTGGATGTACTTTCCTGTGTGTTAATTTTTGCAGTCTGGATGTTGGATGTAGTTCTAGAAATGTGTAAGCTAGGTCCTTTCTGATTTCTGGGAAGCTGTGAAGGTCATTTTGATAGACTAGATCATGTACAAATTTTTTTTTTTTTGGTCTTTATAATTACTGTATGATGATAGACAAGTTCCTTGATTGCTCTTTTCCCCAGTTTCCTTATTGGTGTAAATTGAGAATAAAGCCTACAGATGGGAGTCCTAGGCCCTCTTTCTGGCCTCTAGAATTTAGTCTACCAAATACATCTAGTATTCTAAGACTTGTGTATAGACTATTATATCGGCAAATTTCTAGTCGTCTTGGACAGCCACCCAAGTCAATCCTACATCTGAAGGTTGTTCTTTAGCAGACTTCTGGCCTCTGCTCACCTGCCAGAGCAGCACTGCCTCCAAAGGCTGTCACTAGAGGGACATAACCCTTGGTACACTTGCAAATAAGCTTATGTGCGTATGGCAATTCTGGCTTTGCCAGCCTCTCTCATCTTTGTGCTTTTTGCCTGGAATAACTGCACAATACTTGGCAATCATGTCTACTCATTATAAAGGTACAGTTTGATTCAGCTATTAAAATTGTCAATGGAAAATATAGTTCCTACTACATGCTGCCCTCTTAAATATTGGACAGATATGAATAGGTCCTTATGGTGGATGTATATTCTAGAATGTATACATTAAAATATCAACATGCCTAATCTAAAAAAGAAAAATTTTGAACAAGAAACCATGGTCCCTCTAAATTGAGCCTTTTCTTTTTCTTCTAGGAAAGAATGATCACGCACTTCGAAAGATCCAAAATGGAATGAAGAATGGAAAGTTTTCAGGGCAGAGCTTGTTTAGTGTCAGGGAAGCGATCAGCATTTATGTCAGACTTCTGCTGCTGCTCCACTGGCTGAAAGGAGGCAGTTACACACTCCTGATCTGTTCCTTGTGAGAAAGAGAGAGAAAGAGAGGCATTACAACCAGGCAAGCGTCCCATTGGGAAACAGGTCATAGAATAACAAAATCCTCATAAAAGGTTCTGATTTACAATTCCCCCCTCTTCTACTCCAGATCCCTGACTTGGATGTTTAAGCAAACTACATGTTTTGTTTCAGCTGTTTAATTTGTCAGACTAAAATTTTAACACCAAAGGGACAAAGTCCATAATATGTAATGCCCAGAAGCAACTGCCTATGGTTTTATTTATTTTTTTGGAGAGGTGATGGGGAAAGTTGTTAATTATCCTTCAGTTTCCTGGGGAGCAAATGTTATACCTTGCAGAGCTAGTTGGGAGACAAAAAGGGCCCCTTTGAGTTAAGGAGTCCCCAGTACTATCAGTGATTAAAAGTACCAAAAAATAGAAAGATTTGAAAATGTTAACAGTGGGATTCAGATAATTTTTTAAAGCAAAATCAAGTGCAATTTTGTTTACAAAATGGTGTATATTAAAGATTTTTTCTATTTCAGATGTAATTTAGAGAGAAAATATTAGCTTAACTCTTTTGATGTCTGCTGTTGTGACACATCCCATTGCTGGCAATGTGGTGCACACCTGAGAACTTTTAACTACTGCTCTGACAGCCTCTAAGTGCTGCATTGCTATCTCCTATGCAATGCTTTGTCTGCCCTGGCATTACAGGGATAATGGGTGTTCCCCTGGTATTGCAGCAGGTGCAGAGGCATTTCTTCCACCTGACAGCATATGAGTAAACTTCCTGCTGGAGGGTACTGCAATACTTCAGAAGAGGACAACTGATTATAAAGGAAGCAGGTCCTTCCAGCTTAGTTGAATATCCCTTGGGGTAGGAAACATTACGGTGAACTGTTACTGTTTCTGGTGTTGGTTAAGAATGTTTAGAGGCGTCACAAGGGGAGTTGCTGAATTAGAAACGATTTTAAGGATTCCATTTCTGCTCTAACAGTTTTCTCAACTTTTGCCTTCCCGAGTTATGGATTTCTGTTCTAAATACAAAAAGTTCAAGCCACTTTTTAATATTAAAAACCTTAAAGTCAAAACATTTCTGATTTTTCTTTTCAAATTTCTCTTTTTTAATGATCTGTCTCCAAAACTCTTGTACCCTCTGTTATGGGGAAAGTGTTCATTTCCACACCCTTTATTAGCTTTCTAGGCTGAAAAACCATGTTGGTCAAGTACACACTTCTAAAAAAAAAAAAAAGTCAGCAACCCTTTTTGAGTTGTACAAGCTCTGCCAGAATTATTTTAAGTTTCACAGATAGAACTTCTTTTCAAGTAAACAAAAATGTGAAGAGCTGATTACTTTCACATGTTGACTGCCTAAATATCTACTGTCAAAAGGCTGTAGCTATAATTTGCTATTGATGCTTCTATTTTTGTGCCATAGCATTGAGAAGCACCAGCTATGATGCTGCCATTTTTTGGTTTTAAATTGCTCAGGACTAGCAAGGAAGTTTATATGGGTCTAGTCTATACCTCAGGGGCTGGTAGTTCTCTTTCCCCATTGCTGACAATCTAGATTATTGGAATTTGATGACAGCATGTCATTTGCATTAAAATTACGATCATGCTCAACTATCACTTTTTTGGGGGGTGGATTTGGGGCACAGTTACCTGTTTTCCTGGAGCAGTGGTTAGATGTGTTGGGTCACAAAGCAGAGATCAGAAAGTGCTACACCAAAAGATGCCTATCATACCAGTGGGCCGCTGTAGCTGCAGCTCTCCCTCCATTTCTGGCCATGGACATGCCCTGATCAATGATTAACTGAAGATGTGTAAAACCAAGGTTTCACATGCACATTGCCTGGCACATAGGCACTTTATAAATACTTGCTTAAATCAACTAAAAATCCATGTGTCTTGATACCTAGTCCAGAATTCTTATTCTGCTCCAAACTTTAAGCACTTTTTAATGTTTTTAGACTTGATTTTCTTCTGGGTGAATATTGACCACATTCAGATTATGTCTAGGACCAGGACCTGCATAGAAACTTCATCAAAGAGAATGGAATTTTGGAGGCATGGAGTTTAGCATAAGGGAACCAAAAGGTGGTTGATAATACAGACGGGAATTGAGGGATGAAGTAGGTTGCATGCACATCACCCAAGGTCCAAAGGGGAAGCCCTTAGAATTTACTGGAGGACAGAAAAGAACATTTGGCAGAAAGTTTTTTTTAAAGGAAACAATTCTTAAAACCCGGTAGGGAAGGTAGAGAGGAGCCCTTTGGAACCTGTGGCTTGAGAGAGGACCGGGACGGGGAGGGAGGTGTTCCATTCAGTCTCCAAGACAATCCAGGAGCTGGGACCCTGGCGGGGGTGGGTGAGTGCCAGTGCAGCCGCTGGACCATTTTGATTTTAACTCAGATTTTAGGGATCCTGATGGCAGAGAAAACCGGCATCACCTCCTGCCTTCATTTGGGGAGGTATGGCCTAACGGGAGGGGGGGCCCTGCCTTTTTCTGGAGCCCCCCCCCCGAGTCCGCGGTTATGTCGCAACCGCCACGAGCCCGGGTGACCGGGGAGAGTCTCCCACCGAGTCAGAGGTCCATGGATCGAATTCAGCGAGTCCACGTGCCTGGATGAGGGATGAAAAATTACTCATTTTCACTAACTTTAAACTCATACTTATCATTTCCAACAATTAAAAAGGCCATTCTTCTCACAAGGGGTGTACGGGCTTTACTAGACTGACAAGGGGATCTATGACCCCAAAAAGGTCAAGAAGCCGGGGACTCCAGAGACGTCCAAGACGGTGGGACGTGACCACGACCGTGACAGTGATTCCGGGTTCAGGAGGCGGGCGCTCTGGCGGAAGGGGCGGGGCCTCGGCGACGGAAGGGGCGTGTCATCGCCGTCGCAGTAGGAAGTTTATAGCTGCCGCCGCCGCCGCGGCCTCCTCCGTCCCCGCCTCCGCCTCCCCTCAGGCTGTCAAGGCCCAGAGACCTCTCGTTCGCTGCTCACGCCCCGGTCGCGGCGACGCGGGTCCCCCCGCCGCTGCCATGCATGACGCCTTCGAGCCGGTGCCGATCCTGGAGAAGCTGCCGCTGCAGATCGACTGTCTGGCGGCCTGGGGTGAGAGGAGGGGGGATCGTGGGTGTGTGTGTGTGTCTGAGCGTGTGCGCAGCTGGGGGTGTATTGGGGGGGGTGCCCCGTGGGGTGGGGCAGGCGGAGGTCGCAGAGCGCTTGGGTTCGAAAGCTGTAGTGGGAGGGCGGGGAAGTCAGTGGGTGACTGAGGGAACTTCCACTTGGCCTGGCTGGGGGAGCTAGAGTGGGGTAAGTTCACAGCCTCCGTCAGCATCCTTCCTGACGTTCCCTGGAGTTGGATGGGTCAGTGTAAAGAGAAAGTAAGCAGAGCTGTCATTCCTGCAGTCATGCATTTCCTAAGCTCCCACTTTGTGCCCGGCATTGGGCCACACATACAGAGACGAAAGCCAACAGCCCCTGTAATTGAGGCACTTGCCCCCTAGCCAGATGTACAAATAGTACATACATGCCATATGGAGAGAGGGGTAGTGAAGGACACCCACATGCCGAAGCATCAGCCAACCAACGGACTTTTGAGGCTCTATGCCAAGCACCCCTATTGTATACTAGTCAAGGGTTTGAATTTTTCCTTAGGAGTCGGGTCTTCTCTGGGGTGCATTCTTCCCTATTTAGTTTAGTTTTTTTTTATTTAAAAGTATATTTAGTTTACACTTCTAACCAAAAACTGCTAATGGATATCTCACTGCCATCTTTCTTTTTCTGTAGGTAAGGGACTGGTTTTAGTTAGCTATCCAGAAAGACCCTTTGTTGAGTTGGGAAAGAGCTGGGGAGAGCTAGGCTCAGCCTTGATTTTTCTTTACTACGTATAATCCTACGAAGCCAAGCTTTATTGTTTGAAATCTTGGGTGGAATAGTGTCATTGCAAATTGTCATGAGATGTAGCTCATAAATATGGCAGTGACCCATTTGGGATTGACCAATGCAAAGATTTGGGCCTGATACTTCCGGATTGACTTGAATGACATACAGGTCTAGTTGGGACTGAGTTCATTGAGCCAAGGAAATGAATGAAAACCATTTGTTAAGTGTTTACTAGGACTCAAGTGCTGTGCTAAGTTCTGGGGATACAAATACAAATATAAAAATAGACTCCCTTTATGAGTCTTTGCCTTCTGATGGGGGAGACAAAACACATAGAACAACACAACTAGTTGGGTGAATGGTAAATTGACATACTCCTTTCATGAAGAAGTGACAGTTTATTTGGTCATGACTAGGCTAAACCTAGCCCTTTGTCTATGAATGGATTCAACCTTGGGTCAGACAACCATAACAGGTAAGCTTAGATGAACTTTGACAATTCCATTAACTTTCAAGTTTTGACATTAGAATCCTTAAAAATGAGTGTCATTTTCCAAATTAGATCTTATAGTGCATTGGGGGGTGAGTGAAATGAGTGTTGCTTGGCAGGTATAAAATCATCTGGTAAAAAACTGACCTATCATCTAAGCAAATCTGCTGTAACCACTTCTGTCCCATTATTTTACCTCTAGTCTTCATGCATGCCTTCAAAAGTGTTGTACTTTTCTTGAAATCAGGTGGCCTTTAAGAAACTGATCTGTACTTTGGGGGTCAAGAGAGGATCCCACCTACTATAAAAATCTCTCTGAAACTACGGTCTTTTACCATTAAATTTAGGACAGCAAGGAAAAAAATCTCTATTAATAGAGTGTGTGGTTTGTATATGAGTGATACATGAAGTATACTGCTTTAGAATCTTGACCTCTAGGAGAGAAAGGATCATGTTATATATTTGTTCAGGTGAATGCCCAGCACAGTTAGTGCTCTCTGTAGCCTAATCATAATCATTTTACACACATATACTCACTCTCTCTCTCTCTCTCTCTCTCTCTCTCTCTCTCTCTCTCTCTCTCTC